CTCCAGACAGCATCACTGGAGTTAATCCAGAGAAGAGAGGAGACAGCAAAGGAGCAACAGAAAGCTTATTTTTGACAGAAGAGAATATGATGAAGGACAAACAACAAATCATGAACACGTGAAATAACAAAGCTTTATTCTAGTGTCAGGGTTAAGAATATCAGATGCAAGACCGCAGATGAAACATTCTACTTTGAACTACTTTGATTTACACTGCTACTGAGATACTCATTTTCTCCAAAACTGGAAACTTAACTAAACTTTTAAGAAAATGAACTGGAGCTCAAAAAGATCTACTCACTTAGATTCATCGTAAGGCGTTTTACAGATACAGTAAAGCTTTGTGTCCTTCTTGGTTTCCTTTGAGGTAGTAGAGATCATTTTCTTCTTCTTGGACTTGGAGCTTGAGTCTCTGTCCTCTTCTCGCTTCCTTTTCTGGGAGGCCACAGGCAGTGTGGCCGTGGCCGTGGCCAGGGGGCCCAAGTGCTGCGGGGGAGGCGGAGGCGGGGGCGAAGGCGGAGGGGCTGGAGGTGCAGCAGGCGCTGTGGGCGGGGTGGCAGCTGCTGCTGCAGCCTGCACCACGTCTTTCTCCTTCTTAATCTTCAGGTCCCTCCTGAGCTCTTCCTGTTGTCAGTTAAAGACAATACAAGACTGTCATTCAACTTAGGTAATGATCTAGCCCGAGGATGTTTCCTCACCACCCTTGTCCAAGTAGCTCCACAGCTCAGCCTCAGGTGAGGGAGTGGTGCTAGCTCCGAACAAGAGGGTTCTTACTACACCTGAAACCCAACTGAAACAATGGGAAACAGAAAATGAAGATCATACGACAACTAGAAAGCTGCTGGCTATCTTCAAAGGAGGTCTGGCAGAAAGATGAGCCAGTATCTAGGAAGGCCGGCCCCTCCCGAGGGCCCGTGTCCTGTCCCGGCCGGTTTAGTCGTTGCTCAGGACGTGATCTCGAGGGTCCTCACCCGCTGGCTGCTTTCTTCCAGCCGATCTCCTCTGTGTCCTTAGAGTGAGGCTGGACACGAACTGAACTCGACACTCCAGACGTGGTCTGGCCAGCCCAAAGCAGAGCAAGACAGATGTGCCTTGTTTGCCGGGCTTTTGTGTCTGGAATTTAAGACTTTAGGGAGAGCTATTTTCTCAATACAAAGCTTGCCATGAATTAAAATCCGTACTTTTTCCCACGTGAAATGTTTTAAACACACCTCTGCTACCCAGTGCTGTAACTTATTCTTAGAAATGATGATTAAAGCAAATTTCATTTCCCTAGAGAAAAACCATGGTGATTGGCTTCCATGAACAAAGTTGGTGTGAATAAGTCACACTATGACCAAGCTTTAAAACAGCAGAAAAATTCTAACAAGTAAACCGGAATGGTCCTGGTTTAAAGAAATCTCTTTCCTCTATCTAGAGCCTAGACAGTCTCATAAATGAGAAGACACGCTGTGTGACTATGCACGAGCCCTTCTTTACTTAAAAACAAAGCCTGAACTTTTTCCTAGGGAAGAAAGTAAATCTTGAGTTTCATTTTCCTAAATAATATAATGTGTTTGTAACA